ACAAATAAAACAACCACATGTAGTTTATAAAGAGTTCATCAAACTTACAAAGACTTCACCTGTCTTAACTATTGCTATTTCTTAAAAAAGGGGGGGGGGTTGATAGGGGGAACCTATAATCTAATAGATAGAGCACCTGAGTTAATCTGAAAAGTAATCATATTATCTTAAATCTTAGAACACATATACTTATGTGAATAGGGGGTTAAGTTTTTCTTAAGTTTCCTTTCAAGGTCTGTGCAAAGTGATTAGGGAGGTGACTCAGCTGTGAATCCAGGAAGCAGAACTGATCATCAGAGTGACCCACCAGGAGTCAAAACATCATCTCATCTCATCAACATCATCTCATCACCTCATCGCCTAAGGACTAAAGACAATAGCTGACGTCTGCGGACCTCCAGGGCTAGCCTCACCCTAGTCCCTTCCCCTTTATAATCCTGTCCCCTGCACCTTGCTGTAAGACAGGATTTGAATGCGTGTGAGCACCCTGTCTTCTTGGTTGGCTGGCCTTCTCAATAAACGCCTAATATGATTCAACCCTGCCTTCGTTATTGGACACAGCGACAGGCAGCCAAAGCCCAACAGGGGGTTTTCCGGTAACAGTTCCAATAGTGAAGACGATTCAAACAAAGACGAGTTTTATAGTTTTAAAAATAAAGACCAAAACTGTCACTAAAATACATAATATTGAGGCTTTAAAAATCTAGAAAGGGGTATTATTGTTCAAGAATTATACAGTTTCATCAAGTCCAAGTGCTCCAAAGTGTCATAAGATGCTATTCATTAAGACTGCACAAGCAGCTCTTCTAATCCCAATAATACTCAAACTTAGAAGAAAAACTTCTGACAAATTTTGGGAACTCTCAGCATCCTAATTAGAAGCATAATGCTGAAAAGACATGGTGAGCAATGACATCCAACCTTATGGAAAGTTAAAAAAACAACGTGTAAGCTTGTGTGGGAAGATTCTATGAAGTCCCTAATATACTAATCTTGTGATTGCATATCATTTCATTCATACCTGCACAGATGGCTGTGCATAGAAGGATATGATAAAAGGATAAAAATAAAGAGACCCCACGTGGGGAACCATCTCAATAAGATACAGTATTCAGGCAATAGCCCTGGCTATTTTAATTAGGTTTCTTCTTCAGTCACTGGGTTTGTTCTTTAGTCAAATCTGCCAACAGATACAGGCAATGGTGAAGTAAAAGTGAAAAAAAAATAGGTTGCCCTCTGTTACAATTCAGCTACATTATTCAGACACAGCCACTATATAGCTTGATTACACGGATGATATAGAAGTTAAAGGAAACACTGACACAATTTTGTAACTGATTAACAGGCACTTTTAAGGAAAAAAATTGAATTTGGCATGATGTTTTTAAAACCTAAATTCTTCATTTCGGATTCCTTCAATAATCTATCTATTGAAGAAAAGGCAACATAGTACCCTTGAAGAGCATAGAATTGTTAGTGGTACGTGTAGGTTCCAAAGATAGTCATTGGCGAGATGGGGGGGGGGGGGGGGGGGGGGGAGAGAAAGAGAGAAGAATAAATAAAAATAATCTATACTAATAAAAGGGTAATATGCTAATTAGGGCAGGCGTCTTCTGGACGTCCTTCTGGACAAAGCTGCAGGGGCTGCAAGGGCTGAGGCGTGGCTGCGAAGGGCCCAGGCTCAGGCCAGCAGTGTCAGCAGCAGCGGGGTAATGGGGGCGGCGCCTTCCCCTGATCTGCCACGTTGCCTCCTGCAGAGGCGGTTAGGGATGATCAGGCCAGCAGGGGAGCAAGTTAGAGGTGGTCAGGCCAGCAGGGGAGCAAGTTAGGGGTGATCAGGCAGGCAGGCAGAGGGATTAGGGGCGATCAGGCAGGCAGGCAGGCCAGTGGTTAGGAGCCAGTAGTCCCGGATTGTGAGAGGGTGCAGGTTGGGCTGAGGGACCCTCCCCCCCATGCACGAATTTCATGTACCAGGCCTCTAGTAATAAAATAATAGCTATCATTTGAATTGCCCTCACAATGTTCCAGGCACTGCTCTGAGAATTTGACATCCACTTACTCCTCACAAATTACACGGAGGGAGGATCAATGATTGTATTCATTTTACAGGTCAGTCAGTCACAGAAAAGATCAGTAACCTGCAGAAGGTCATACAGGTGGCAGGTGGTGGAGCTGAATTCTGAGCCAGGCCATGGGGCTGCATTGCCATCATCTGCCATATCACCTGTATGCTCTTATTTCACCTGTGCTACAACATTGCACAGCAGGTAACATCATCTCCAATTTATAGATGAAGACCAAGTCCTAGAGCATCAGGAATTTATAAAATGGCAGTGGAGCTGAAATTCCAAGTGAGAAGTTTCAGACTCCAAAGCCCTAGAGAAGAGGAGCACCAAGATGACCTTTCTCAACGGGACTGAGGAGGGATGTGGTCCTTAAGATCCTCCAACCAAGACAAATAATGAAGCGTACCTGCAGGGAGGAAAGGGCCTGTTCCAGTCATTGTGGGGATCCCATAATGACACAGTGCATGACATGTGAGGCTCTCTCTACTCCAGGGGTGGGGAACGTCCGGCCCTCGGGCCACATAAGGCTGGTGAAACATTTGGTCTGGCCCTGCCAAGGCATTAGAGGAGAGTTAATTAAATGCTTGACCAAATAGAGCAAGCTAATTTTTAAGTTGATCATTTTGTATGGCCCTCAAATGATGCTATAAATATCCAAATGGCTCTTGGCAGAGAAAAGGTTCCCCACCCCTGTTCTAGTCCTTTGCCAGTCATCACACTTGATGATTCATGTTTAACATCACTTTCCCAGTAGACTGTAAGCTCTGCTCATTTAGTGTGAGCATGCTATGTACCAGACAAGGACCCTTCTAGGTGCTTGGAATATGCCAGTGAATAAAAGGAAGAGCCTTACCTTTTGCTTATTTAACTGTGCACCCCTAACACCTAGCAGAATGTCTGGCACCCATTGGTTCTCAATAAATATTCACTGAATGAATAAATGAATAAATTAGGAGGGGCAGGTAGAAGCAACCGGAAAGAAAAACTACAGAGAAAAGGAAATATCTTTGTCTGATCTATTAACTCAAGATTTTTACTAACATCTTAATATGCTTGTGATGAATGAAGACAACCATTTTTATGTTATTTAACTCATCTTTAAAAGTAGAAATGCTACCATATTTAATTCCAAAAGTGAACTATGACCCAGGTTCTGAAGGAGGACATGTGGTTCAGGAGGCAGCCTTTTGTCAAACTGATTTTCAAATTACATTCTCCGGAGCTTAGCCTGTGTTTAATACTCACCGCTTTTCAAAAGGCAACTTCCCAAGGCAGGCATTCTCCCAGTAAATAAAAGCGTTTATCTTCAAGCTCATTTGGTTTTAGCAATGAGGTTACAGTACAGGCTGTCATCCACATTGGTACTGACGCCCTCAATTAGAGGCAACGGCATTTCACCTCCATGCAAAATATTAGTAAATTAACAATCCCCACTCTGCATTCACTGGGGAAATCTGCTCTGCTCGTGATGCCGAACGTGACAAGCGGGGAGTCATCAGAAACGCTGCAGTAATACCTTCAAGCCTTGCAAACATCAGTTAAAACTCTGGCTCTGCACCTAGCCTTTGGGGTTTGGTCTGTAGGGCAAATTTCTTTTTTGCACGCAGAACTCAGCATTGGTAATTTGCAAGAGAAACAAGCAGTAACCCCAGCAACAAATAGTTACAGAAACATCCACCCTGGTTTTCTGAAATCTTTCCTGTAACTTAATGTCTCTTTGAGACCATACAATGAACTCTGGCACTGTAAACAATTTTCAGATCGGATTTACAATTCTCTGACATAACTTCCACTTAAAGAGCAAATCCTAATAAATATTTCTTTACAGCTAAGAAGACTGCAAAGAGATTCTTATTCAAATGTCGTGGCTATCCCTTTCAGATTTAAGGGCACTTTAAGCTAATGAAGAGATATTTGAACCCAGTAATTGTTGGGTCATAGGAGCTCTGTGGATGGGCATCAGTAGATGTATTTAAAATTTGTGAGAAACATTGTACATGTATTGTATTGGAATGGGCACGGTCACTTTAATCAGATTCTCTACGGGGGCTGCAACCCCATCAGACAAGGAGGGACCTAAGGGCTAAGGGGAGGGTTTGCTGAGGTTGGCCACCAGCCAGCTGCCATGGAGTTGCCCCAATTTTAGTGTCTTCTTTCGTAAAATTACTTCTTCAGATCCTATGATCCTCCTCTTCTCTATGTTTTAATACTTGAATCCAGGATGTTATGGGGATCATAAATTGAGCTGAATCTTCACCTTTAACATCCTATATTCTAGTAATTATATTAACTAATGATTCAGCCTCATCCTTATTGGCATTCTGCGTATCATTAACCATAAAACAAACTAAACATTTATGAAAATATTAATGTTTGCATTGTATCGATGGAGCAGAAAGATCAACACCTCCTGTTTTTTGACAGTAGCACTTCCTCATGACAAGTCGAACCCTTAGGAAATGTTTTTATGTCCTCAGAATCTCATTTCTTTATGCGGGACATTACAATGAAGGCTAAATCACAATTTAAGTCTAATATGTAGAATACTAAGTCCACTATGTGTTTTTAAGTCTATCAATTTTGTTAGGTTTCCAAAGACAGAAGAGCTGAGAAGCTGGGCGAGTATTGCTTAAAATAATTCAAATAATTATTTCAAAATCCTTTTTGATTTGGGGGCTATGGAATTCTAGCCAAGGTTAAAAGTTATCATCTTTTATAAAATCAATTAAACAAAACTGTGCATATTTTTATCATTATGGCTTAATAAAGGCAAATCAGGTCAAAATTATCCATTTTTAAAATTAAATCTGAACACCTCCCCCCGCAAAAGCCACTTTTCAAATGTAAAGTAGATTTCTACATGAGAATAGGGGCTAATGAGAAATACGAAAGATCGTTTTTTGTCCAGGACATGTAGAACCATGGCTCACTTACCGTCATGATGAGCCCCTTCTCCTGGAAGTATTTAACCAGCGGAGCAGCGTTCTGCTTGAAGTTCATTAGTCTCCTTTGCGTAGCTTTCAGATTGTCATCAGGCCGGCCCTGTTGCTCTGCTCGCTTCAGCAATCTTTCTTTGAGCCTCTGATTGGTGCAAGCCAGGAATACCACCAAGTCGGGAGTGCAGATCTGTGGAGAGCATTAAACAAGTCGACAGGCATTCAACATACCAACCAATGCAAGTGCAGACAATGGCCTCCATCTCTTTGGTTCTCTTGCAGCTGTCATATTTTTGGCCCTCTGTGTTTTTTGCCAGTGCATTTCCAGGGCTATCACTCTACACAAGATCAAGAGGAGCCATTGTTGCTACAGTTCATGTAAATGGGCATGTCCACACAGCCATATTCAGTGACCCTACTTATTTCAGGAAAATATTTTTGTTTATACTCAAATATGTATCCTGGTTGAATTAAGAACAATATAGGCCAAACTTTGCCAAAGATATGTGACCTGGTTTTAGAGACTACAGGGGCCACAGATGAGGACAGATAAAAAATATTGCTGCTATTATTACCATTTGCTGCCTTTTTAACAGTATCTATTGTATGCCAGGCCCAGTGCTAAGTTATTTCCCTTGATGTTGCTACACTTTACAACAATATGGAGGGTAAATATTACCTCCATTTTACAGATGCGTAAACTGAGGCTCTAAGAAATTCAGCACTTGTCTGAGGTCACATGGTCAGTAAGGTCCAAGTTGATATTTGAACCTACATCTCTCTAGTCCAAACCCTGTGTTCCGTCCACTATTACAATGCACTAAGTGGCTCAAAGACCTTTGTGAATTTCTGAAAGTACTGAGGAATGACATGGAAAGAACCTATGAAATAAACAGTTTTTATTCAACTCAATTGGAACTAATATTGCATTTAAAAGGTAACATCATGGTCATTAAAGTGAACACAGTTTCTTGATGAAGAAGGGACAAGCCAAAAAAGGCAGTTGTGTATAGTGATTTAAAAAATGATCTCCAAAACTTTTTATTGCATCCTTACATTAGTAAACTATTTGATCATACATCCCAATAAACGTGTGCTTACTAATTTATAAAGTATGCATGCATGTATGATATGCATATATTACCATACTGATATAGGATGCGTGTTGTATAGTATAATTGCCACTATTGGTAAGTGGCGGATTGATTTCAGGATGCCTCCTTGGAGGCCAAAATCAGAGGATGCTCAAATCCCTTATGTAAAATGGCATATTATTTGCACATAGTCTACCCACATCCTCCTGTATATACTTTATAATCCTCTCTAGATTACTTAGAACAGCGGTTCTCAACCTGTGGGTCGCGACCCCTTTGGGGGTCAAATGACCCTTTCACAGGGGTCGCCTAAGACCATCAGAAAACACACATATAATTACATATTGTTTTTGTGATTAATCACTATGCTTTAATGATGTTCAATTTGTAACAATGAAAATACATCCTGCATATCAGATATTTACATTATTATTCATAACAGTAGCAAAATTACAGTTATGAAGTAGCAACGAAAATAATTTTATGGTTGGGGGTCACCACAACATGAGGAACTGTATTAAAGGGTCGCGGCATTAGGAAGGTTGAGAACCACTGACTTAGAATACCTAATACAATGTAAATACTATGTAAATAGTTGTTACACTGTATTGTTTAGGAAATAATTACAAGAAAAACAGTCTACTACCATGGCAACAATAGACCTACTACATAGTGCATGTCAGCAACCATGTAACATTTTTTTCAAATAGATTTATTTTATTTTTTCATCACCATTTATCCCCTCTCTGTCTTCTTCCACCTCCATACTACCCACTCCCAGCAATCACTACACTGTTGTCATGTCCATGAGTTCTCTGTATTTTTTCTTCTGTTTTGCTCAACCCCTCTACTCCCTTCATCTCACCCTCCGCCCCCCCCCCCCAGCTGTCTGCCTGCTCTCTATCTGAGTCTATCTCTATTTTGCTTGGTTGTTCAGTTTGTTCATTAAATTCCATTCAAATATTTTTGATCTGTGGTGAGTTGGATTTGCAGGTGCAGAACCTGCAGATACAGAGGGCTGACTGTATACACAAAAATACAATTTAAAAAGGATGAGTTACAATAATCATAATTGTTATATTTTCTTCCCACAGTGGCTTGCTTTGTGCACTATGGATACCACTGGTTAAGAAATAGACTCTGGAGGCTGGAACATGGATTCTACTTTTTGCCTAGCTGAGTGATGGTTATATGACTTAACTTTGCTAAGCCTCTGAGTCCTCTATCAATAGAGATACACAAACCTCCCTCAGGATTAAATAAGATATTGTATGTAAAATACAGAGCACAAACTTGATCCAGGTGCTCAAATTTTAGCCATATTTACTATTGGTTTTCATAATTCTATGTTGTACTGGTTCGCCTTTAACATTTTGGTTTTTATTTTGTTTATTTTTTCTTCTCTCACATTTTTTCCTTCTCAGACCCACAAGTGGGGCATTCCCTGCAGATTAGATAATTTTTTCCCTTTTCAGATTCTAATTTTCTTTGTATTCTCTGTGTCCTTCCACTCTTCTGGTTTTAACCACTACCCTATTGATGGATTTTAAATCTACTTTTTGGCAATGACTTTCAATAGTCCTATATTGTCCAATAGGCTACATGATGGCTCTACCTGTGAGTCTTAATGTTATCTGTGACTCAGCAAGGCCAACATCAATTTCAGCACATTTTTACCTAAATGAAATTCCCATCTTGTTTGTTTGCATATTTATTTATTTTTATGGTAGCAACACTACTTTCCTAAATCTCTCAGCTAGAAGCCTTAGTACATTTCTAACCCTTACTTGTCAAAACGTCAATCTCTCTGACGTATCGCCATTGCCTGTGGATTCTGCCTTTGAAATGCCATTCAGTCTCTTCTTCCCCCAATTCCTCCTGCCACCGTGTAAGCTCAGGCACACACCAGCATAAGTGATTATAAGCGTGAACTTGAGAATCAGACGGTCGTGAATTTGAATCTAGAGTCTGCCACCTATTAGTGTTTGTCCTTGGGCAAATGATTCAATTTCTCAGAACTTCAGTTTTCTCAACTGTAAATAAAATAAGGGGAAACCCCTCATCCTATCTCAGTAGCTTAGTATTTCCCAGTTTTTTAAAAACATCTAAATAGCTTTTGAGAAATCTTAACAATTTAGACAATTGCTTTGTAATTTTTGTGTGATATAATAAAGCCTTTGGAAATAGTCAGCCTTACCCAATATAAAATAATGACACCCTTTAAAATTTTCTTTAAATAAATATATAAGAAAGACCATTTTTGACAAATTAAAATGACATTATATTGTGCTTGGTGTGGTCATAATGTCTATTAAGATATGGAAAAAACCTGAACTACCAGGTTGGTATTGAATACAAATAAAACCTTGCATTTTGAAATTCCTGCAGTTTGCATTTAAACAAATTAAATGGTTTACCTTAATATATTTATTGTTTTGTTGCAGATTGAAATGTAAATGCTTCTCTCTACCTAATGCAGTGAGGTCACGGATAGGCTTGCATATGTAATCCTCACTATATTTTGCCTGTCACTATTGGCTTTTGAAGTACTAGAGACAGCTTGAAATTTAAGATTTTGTTTACACTCTGAATAAAACTGCATTTTTGTTTATTTTTATATTAGTAGACTTTTTTAAAAAAGCAGTTTTAGGTTTACCAAAAACTTCAGTGGAATAGCTAAGATTTTTGATCAATAAATGCAACTTCAGGTCTGATAACGATGACCTTGAAGTGAATCTGCAAAGTTATTTAATTTAATAATTGTGATTAACTTTCTGTCTTTCTTTAGTGTACATTAAACAATATATAGCTTCGAATATAAAAATTAAGATGCGGAACCCTGACAAGTAGGGATAACCAGCTGATTGCTCAACGGAGTGAATGTAGCCACAAGCACGCGCATCTGTGCATCCGTTTCCTAATGACCACCATGTATGTCCACTTACTGGAGGCTCACGTTTTTGACAGTGCGTTATTTTAAAGGAAAAAGTATTTAAATTGTTTGCTTTCCCCCCAAAATGTAAAATAGCAGCAGGTACCATTCTGTTCCAAAAGATGTGAAGCCCCTGTAAAGTTTTTATGAAATTCACTTGCATGAAATGTTGAGAAGTTTCAACAGAGTGACTCCTTCTTAGCCTATGTTCTCAAAATATATCTGTTGATTGAATGATTGAAAGAATAAGTAAATGAGTAAGGAAAAAAAAACACCCCAAGATACTGCTTTTGTCTACAAGGAAGTAAACTTCCCAATTACTGATATTGTTCCTCCCACTGAATCAACTAAAGCAATTTTTTTTCCTGTCATTATATAGTCAAGTCAATCTTCCTCTATCCATTTTCTTAAAGTCCCTACCTGAGTGATTACTCTGTTAAAAAGAACCTGTGATTGCCTTTGATAGTCGAAGGCAATATTCATTGTGTCAGACTACCAACTGAACTGATTTTAATACTCCCATTCTTAACTGTCAGTACTTTTGACTGCCCTATTCTTTATGAAGACGTGTTACAAAGCTTAGACTCCATAATTCAGACCACACTGTCAGAAGCCAGGAAGCAAAGTACTAAAAGGAGAGAGAGAGAGAGAGAGAGAGAGAGAGAGAGAGAGAGAGAGATCACAGTTGGAACAAAATCTGGAATCACAGAAACTAAGAGATGGAAAAAACTTAGAGGTTATCTAACCCAAATGAATGCCAAACCTGTCATCTTCTCCACAATCCCTTGACAAGTGATTTTTAAGTTTGAACATTTAAACTTGAATGTTCTTGTGAGCATTTCTTGTGATGGGTACTTGCTTCTTATAAGGCAGCCCCTTTCTGGATGACTGTAATAATTGGGAATTTCTTTCTAATATTGGGCTAAAATTTGCTTGCTTATGCTGCCTAAAGGTAAAATGTGAAATAAATCATTTCTTTCACCCATCAAACATTTATCGAACATACTAGTATATCATTACCACAGAGGACAGACTAGATCATAAAAAGAAAAAAAGGTAGAAAACTGAACTTCATTATCATTTAACATGGAGATAATTGACAGGCAGAGTTTTCAACAGACTATGGGGTTGGGGGACAAAAATTGGAATATGAGGCTCACCGAA